ACTGCACCAAATCCAAAGGAAGGATCCAGAGGCAGAGCTACAACCAGGCCGGACACATATTTTCTCACCCCATCCTGACCTCACATGTCTGACATTAGCCTAGGGCTTGCCATTGCAGGGATTGCAGATAAATGCTGGATGCTTTGTGCTTTCAGCAGCTCTGGCTGCATTACATGGGAACACAGATCCCTTTTCTAAGGGGTGCCTGCCTTAGAACCACGGAATCACAGAATATTCTGAGCTGGAAGGGACCCACAAGAACCATCGAGTCCAATCTTGGCTCCACACAGCACCATCCAAAACCCAAACCCAATGTCTGACAGCACTGTCCAACGCTCCCTGAGCTCCGGCACTCAGCGCCGTGCCCACAGCCCTTGGCAGGCTGCTCCATGCCCATCGCCCTCTGGCACAGACCCTGTCCCTCACCCCCAGCTGCCCCTCCCCTGACACAGCTCCATTCTCTTATGTCTGGTCGCTGTCACACAGAGCAGAGCTCAGCGCTGCCCCTCCGCTCCCTGTGAGCAGCTGCAGCTGCCATCAGGCCTGCCCTCAGCTCCTCCGCTCTGTGCTGAGCAAACACAGGGAGCTCAGCCGCTCCTCACACACCTTGCCCTCCAGAGCCTTCTCCATCTCTATAGCCTCCTTTGGATGCTGTCCATTAGCTGTATTTGCCCTTTGTGTCTTCACCCATCCAGTGTGACAGCAGTCACTGCTAGCACTCCATCATTTCCTATGGCTGTGTCCCAGTGCTGCAGCGACAGAAGCCCACGCTGCCGATGTCGGTGTGGGCCCTACTGCCAGAGCAGCTGTGAGAGGAGCTTGTGCCCAAGCCTGGGTCAGTGTCTGTGCCTGCTATAAGGTCCTCATGGTACAACATAGCAGATACAGCCATAGCCGTGTCAGTTTACACCAGTGCTCGTATTGATGCGTTATTTCCTCTGTAGATAATACAGTCAATTTTCCTTTACTTCTGCCTTTAGAAAGAATGTAAATTACCACAGTTAAAATCACTGGGCCTTGTAAAAACCTGCCTGTGCCCAGAAAACCAAGCGTCGGAGCTTGCCTGGAGCTGAGGAAGAAGTGGCATCTTTTTCAATAAATTTACATCTCTAAATAGATGATAAGTGTTGAATCAATTTCCATATGTTTAAAATAGCAGAGCATTAAGTATTCTGGCACTTCAAGCAATCAGCTAATTTGGGACTATTATGAGAGTATCTTTTACACCAGAGGAGCAATTCATCTGAAAATCAGGAACAGTCTGCATCTCTGTGCCCTTTCAGTACAATAAAGGACAGCAAATTGTCAAGAAATCCTATTTGTTTGCCTGAAGAGTCTATGGTGTGTTATGATATTTAGGTCTTCACAAAATCAAACATTTCACCTCTTATTAAAGCAAGTGATAACACACCCCCATTTGCCAACGCAGGCTACACAGGTCCATTGATAAGCAATGATCAAAGTGTAGCCAATGATACGTGAGAGCAATGCAGGTATGTGCTTCCTGATGAAGGCAGCAGGAGCTGAGCCATGCCAGCCTCTTTGCACAAGGCAGTGTGTGAAGGCAGATGCTGCCTGCTTTCTCCACCCTTACCCCCAGGCTGCCCACATCCAGCTGGTTGGCTCCGAGCGCAGCTCACAGTTCTCCGCTCCTGCCAGCACGTCTATAGCTGAGATGAAAGAAATATTGTTTTCCAAAGGTCACTGAGCATTAAAGGTGTATGCAGCCTCGCTCCAGAAAGCGAGGAAAGTGAACATCTTTTAGAATCAGCCGGCCTTTTTGACCTGGATGAAGTAGGATGCAGATCTCATGATGGACTTCAAAAGCCAGATTAAAGGGGAGATGGATGGAAATATCTTCAGAACTTCCAGTGAAGTGATCCACAGTGTCACCCAGTTTGCTGAGTAACTAAATATTCCCACATTGCATTCCAGCATGCTGCTCACAGATGCAATGTGCCATGCATTCTGTAGATGCACAGCACCATGCAGCCTGGACACACAGCACTGACCTTGCACCACATTGCCTCAGCGTGGTACAACTGCATCATTGTATTCCCCCTTGCATGTAGCACACCATCCTCCAAAATGCAGGGACTTGGATGAGGACAAATTTGGGGTGACTTGATGATTTTGTTTTAAGTTCATGTCCTGGAGAAGGCAGCACCACTGCGGAAAGCTGCTCACTAGCGAGTGGATTTTCCATAGCTCAGATTTTCACCGTTCATTTGTTGAATTCTGACTGCCAAAACAATAAGTTCAGCCAATGACTTCAAAGGAGGATATCAGGATCTGGAGGAGCAGTGGGATCCTTATTTTCTACAGATTTCTCTCTCTTTTTTGGTCATTTAGAGCTTGCGACACTACGTATTTCTATCCTTAAAGATGAGAAAAACATGGATTTGATTCTATGGGAAGCTGAGTGTCCTCAGAAGCAGGGCAGGCAGGTGGAGAATAATCTGTGAGATATCAGCCAGCTGTGAGAACGGTTCAGAGTGGCAGAGCCGCTAAGGGTGCATCTCCAGCAATTCGCCGGAGTTCACCCCGCTGCCCTTTCTGCATTTAGAGCACAGCAGAATGGTGAATAATGAGGGCCACAGGAGGACAAGCGGGTTACTACAGCTGGTCAGGCAAATTAATGCAAATTACTTGGCAGTTCACCAAAAGTAGGCCAAAGAGGGCTCTTCATAAGAAACATAAAGGAAAAGTAATCTTGGAGGTGGCCCAGTCCACAAGCTGAATGTGTTGGATTCCAGACCTGTGGGAGACCTCTGTTTCTTCAGCTTGTACAGCTTTCTATCCATCTCCTGAATCTTTCCCCCGGATCATTTAATGTCTTCAAGTCCTGACAAGTGCAAACCCCTCACCGTGTTTCCTCCCCCACTAAGGGCTGCTGGCTTCCAGCCTTCTGGCCTGTGCCCATCGCCGAGGGGAGGGCTGAGGCTCTAGGTGCTGAATCCTTTGCAAATCTCCCTTCTTCACCTCCTCCAGTCTGTGCAAACTGCAGAAAATCGGTTTATCCATTCACCATTGCTGCTGACTTGTACCTTTGATCTGACATTTTGGGAACCGTGCTCTATAGTATTGGGATTGACACTCTTTAATATCTTCATATTGTATCCAGTTTTGGCCACCCCAGTTCAGAAACGACAGGGATATCCTAGATGGAGTCCAGCAGAGAGTCACAAAGATGATAAAGGGCCTGGAGTGTACGAGGAAAGGCTGAGTAACCTGGGTCTGTTCAGCCTACGGAAGACAGAGAGGGGATGTGATTAATGTTTATAAATATCTAAAGGGAAGTGGGAGACAAATGGATGAGGCCAGGCTCTGCTCAGTGGTGCATAAAAATAGGACAAGGAATAATGGCTTAAAACTTGAACATAGGAAGCTCAGTGATGGAGTACTTGGAACAGGCTGCCCAGAGAGGTTATGGAGTCTCCTTCCATGCAAATACTCAAGACCCTGCCTGTGTTACCTGCTGTAGGTACCTGCTTTAGCAAGGGGTTGGACTCAATAATCGCTTGAGGTCCCCTCCAACTGCTGCTATTCTGTGACTCTGAGATTCATCAATGACATCAAACTAACGAGGTTCAAAAAAAGCAAAGTATAAGATTTTCTGCTCTGGTCGAGGTAATCCCAGATATGCACAGAAACTGGGAGAAGAACTTGAGAGTAGCCCTGCTGAGAAGGACTTGGGGGGGCCTGGTTGATGAAAGATTTAACATAAGAGAGTGCCCTTGCAGCCCAGAAAGCCAACCATATCCTGGGCTGCATCAAAAGAAGTGGGGTCAACAGATTGAGAGAGGCGATCCTGCCCCTCTACTCAGTGTTGTTGAGGCCTCGCCTGGAGTACAGTGTCCAAATGGGGAGTCCTCAGTGAAGGAGAGACAAGGACCTGTTGGAGCGTGTCCAGAGAACGGCCACAGAAATGATCCATGGGATGGAGCACCTCTCCTACGAGGACAGGCTGAGAGAGCTGGGGCTGATCAGCCTGCAGAAGAGAAGGCTGTGTAGAGACTTGCGAGCAAGTCAGTATCTAAAGGGGGGCTGTAAGAAAGGAGACATTTTCATAGCCTGCTGCAAGAGCACTGGATGTGAAGGGCAACAGAAGCCAGCACAAACACACAAGGAAATAAGCGAGGCCACTGCATGTGAGTGTCTACGGGCTGTCAGATACGACAAAGGCTTTGTGGAACATGCTGCATTAAGGCATTGAACATCTCAGTAAAACCTGCCAGCTTCTCTATCCCGTGGAAGGGAGATAACAAGCACAGTACAAATCAAAGTGGTGTTTTAAGGGATAAAAAGGTGTTCACTTTGAAGATGCACAGAAGCCGTAGGCATGGGCACTGTGTGGGACACGATCCGTTTGAAACTGCCATTGCAGATGGATGCCAAAACGCTGCATCCTACCTGGATTTGGGAGGGCTGTGTGCACACAAGTCCCAGCCCTACCAGCACCATGCTGCTGTGCTCATACTGGGGTTTTCTGCTGTGTGACCGTCTCCTTGGGCAACGGCAGCGGGATGGGGGCTCCTTTGTGCGCGTCGCACTCCGAGAGCCCCAAGCCCTGCTCGGCCGCCCAGCGGGGTGCGACGGGCCCAGGCCAAGCGCCTAGAAGAGAACCACAGCCTCCGGGAGCTGACGAAGACGGGGTGTCACGTCAGACTTCCCGGCGTCACGGGACGGACGGCGCACCGCGCCCGGTGCCTGCCGCCGACCGGAGCCACCCGCACCGCTTGGCTCGGCGCGCCTCGCGTCCTCCCGAAAGCCTCACATCCTGGGTCGGCGCCGGCGAGACAGAAGCGAGCCCAACGAGCGGGCTCTGGGGGGCGGCGTGCTCCGAGGAACCCCCTCCCTCGCAGCCCGCCGGGGGGCGGCCAGGCCCGGCCCACCGCCCGCCGCCTCCCTCTCCCCCCCCCTTTCCCCGCGGGCCACCCCGGCACCTCAGCGGGGCGGGGGCGGGCGCGGAGCGAGGAGCGAGGAGCGCGGCGGCGGCGATGGCTTTCGAGGCGCTGGCGGAGGCTGCGGAGCGGTGGTGCGCCCGCACGCCCTTCCAGCTCATCGCCGCCGAGGAGACGGAGCGCCGCATGGACTTCTACGCCGAGCCCGGCGTCTCTTTCTACGTGCTGTGCCCTGAGGCTGCCTGCGGCGACAATTTCGTGAGTGACCGCGGGGGGGGGGAGGAGAGGAGGGAGGTGTTAGAGCCGTGCCCAGAGGGCTCCGGCCTCGGGGGGAGCTCCGGGGGGCTGCGGGCCGGAGGAGCCCTCCGTGCGAGCGCCGAAAGCTGCAAGATGGAGTCGTTGGCCGGTGCGGGGCGGGCAGGGCACGGACAGCCCCCCGGCTCCCCTCGGTCCCCACGGCGCGCGATGCCCCCCCACGAACACCGCTCCTCAGCCCCTCCTTCTCCGAAAGCTTCCGCCGTGCCGCCCGGGTTCGGCTGGGGGCTCGCGGGGCCGTTTGGCAAATGGAGAATGGGCAGGGATAAAATGGAGTCGGGATGACAGCGGGGCCGTCCCTGCTGCGCCCCGGGCAGGTGCGGCCCCTCCCGCCGGGCCCCGCCGAGTTGGGCAGCGAGTTGTGGTGCCGGGGTGTCCGATCCCGGCCCCCGCCCCCATGGGGAGAGCCTCCTCGTCGCCGAGGGTGTCGCGAGGTCGTAGAATATCCCGAGCTGGAAGGGAATCTGAAGGAGCATCGAGTCCGACTCCGGCTCCTCGCTCGCGGGTGTGGAGCGCCGGTTGGGTGCAATTGAAGGACTGCGGCTCCGATAGCTCCCGGAACGGCGTCGGAGCTGCAGCTCGTGCTCCTCCCGCAGCAACTTCCACCTCTAGTCCTGCTAGGGAAGTACTGACGAATTCCCAACCCGGCAGGTGAGCAGAGGGGGTTTGATGGCCGGGTCAGTGAGACAAAGAGCAGGCATGCAACGCCTCTGGGAGTGCAGGTCCCGGTGAGCAGGATGTGTGCTCACCACATTGTGCTGGATCCTGAGGGAAGCGACCCAGGATGAGCTCTGCTTATGCCAGGAGACATGTGGGACCCGTGTGCCAGGGCAGCCCCAGTCTGACCAGTGCCCACGTGCAGCAGGGGCTGTGTTGGGCCATCACAGAATGGCCAGGGTTGGAAGGGATCTCAAGGATCACGAATCTCCAACCCCCTTACCATATGCAGGGCCTCCAACCTCCCCATTTAATACTAGACCAGGCCGCCCAGGGCCCCATCCAAGCTGGCCTTGAACACCTCCAGGGACAGGGCATCCACAGCATCTCTGGGCATTCTGTGCCAGCACCTCACCACTCTGTTGGTAAAGAACTTGAGGCCTTGCAGGAGTCTGGCAGCAGGACGGGGCTGGTTGGGAAGGACTCCCCATCTGAAGCCAAAACCAAGCAGAAGGGTTACATTTCTGTTTTGTGGCATTACCACTCAAGGTACTTTTCCTATTAACTTTCAAGGTAGACAGATAGGTAGAATACTTAATTCTTTTCCTGTCGATGATGTCTCCTTAATGCGTTTAAGAACCGCTGATGAAGTGGTTCACCAGCATCGTTCACCAGTGCCATCATTTCTGCTTCAAGTGCACTGTGGGCCTTCAGTTATGCTCCCAGCTCAGCTATCTTGGTTTGCTGCCTTTTTATAGCTCTGTCCTATCCTACCCTTCCTTACTCTATCCTATTTTTCGTGTTCCAGAATGTTTGCTTTCTAAGTGCAATTACAAGCTGAGCTTTATTTCAAGGAGATTTAATGTGGGCCATGGGACAGATTCTCACTTGCACCTGAGCCCCTTGAGTTGCACGGCTCTGTTAAGATGGAAGAGCATGACAGAGAAAGGAAATAGAACCAGTGGTAGACTTTGTGATGTTTCAGTCTTACACGTCTGACAAAGGAGCCTTACATTTAATCAGCATCTGGTGCCTGATATTCTTGTTCTCTTTCTTTATGTCCTCATTTCATAATAATGTGACTTAAAAAACTACGTAGGAGGTGCCAGTGAAGTCCATGATAACTCACTCGCGAGGAGGAAATTGTGAGCATGCTGAGTTTAAAAGAGAGGTAGAAAAAGACAGGGAAAGTTTGCCAAGAAGCAATCTGGGAGATAAAAACGGGGTCTTGTATAAAACCTGAGATCACAAGGATCACATGATTTTAATTTCCTGGAAAGGTGTCTCTAGGCTGGATCTTTCAGCATGCTAGGGGTACAGATGACCCGTTCAGGAGTTCACAGGTGCTGTCAGCACCTCCTGGATACTAAAACTCACCAAATCAGCATTTTGGACAGCTGAACTATGGACAGTTTAGCTCCTGAGGTTTACAGTTTTCTCAGAAAATTAATTGGACTTGTATAGCCATAAGCAATGTGAGGGTTGAGGAGCTATTCCTTACAGTCTTGACATTTGTTTTCCCACTTTGTTATTGCTGACATTCAAAGTAACCAATCAAGCAAATAAAACCATTATGCCACTTCGTTGCAAGATTTCCTGTAAATGTTTTACAGCACAGGTCACAAATCTAAATATTTTCCATAAGCTGATGGCAGGTGAGAGGTGTCAGTGTGTCCGTGTTGCCAGAGCCACAGTTTTGAATCTGCTGACATGGAAATTGGTGGAAGCCCTACTTGCTTGTTGCCTTGTGATATAACAGGTACATCTCTTCAAAGGCTGAATGATGGGTTGGTAAGGTTTTCTCCTTGTGCTCCATCATCTTATTCTCTGCTGCTGCTGGCACGTTCCTGCTGGAGACTGAAATGTGGAGCCTACACAGTTGAAGAAGGCTTTGTAAAAAACATGGTAGGATGACATGTGGTCAGCTTTCCCTGGGAAGCAAACTAGCTATTAGTTATAAAAGGGCAAGGCCTGATTTTCGTGGATGTGGAAGTCCCTGTGCATAGATCTCATAGCTGAAAGAAGCCACAATTTAAACAAGAACCAGGATGTTAACGGTCATAATCATTACACACAAATAAACAATTACAGCAGTTTAGCACAGGACACAAACTGCTGACCTGTAATATTCAGGCCTTACATTTGGCACAAAGATTAGAAGTAATAAAAAGATTACTGCTTGAACATTAAGGAACTGTGAGCCAGACCTCCAAAATCTCCAGGCTGTTGTTACAATGTTGTGATTTGGAAAAGAGCTCATTGGTATTTTTAATGGGGTTCATTTGAGTCCATTTAGTGTACTTCCTGCCTTTTTAGGCCATAACAATCCCAAAGCCAGACTTTTTTTTTGAGACAAGAGCTGCTGGTATGTTTGTAGGACTGCAAGGCCCATGGCTGTGAAATGGCATGGGGAATGGTGAGATCTGTGGTATGTGTTTCTGAGGGCTGCCAGACTGCCAAGAGATAAGTCTGGGTGCCTGGAACAAGTAGAACCTACTCAGTAAGACAGGGATTTTTCTTAGCATACCATTGTGCTGCAGTTGTGCAGGTTGAGTGAGGTCAGTAGCGAGGCAATTGCTGCTTTTGCCTTAAACACACAACTTCAGTGAAGTTAAGCAGTCTTTTCATTAGACAAATGGAAACCTGCATCCCTGGCTCACTGCTGAGCAGAGAGGCAGCATGCATGCCCTGCGTTGGGGATGAATGTGTGTGGTTCTTGCTCTTTCTCTGAGCATTAGTTAAGCTTCAGAGAAATCCTCTCCTGTCCCCACTGAAGCATACCCTGCTGTTTATAGCACAGTAAAAAGCTGCACGGCACTTTGGGGAAAAGAACTGCCGTGCAGAAATAGAGGTCTAAGTGTCTCCAACAGTTCTTGCAGCATTACAACTTCTCGTTGTAAGATAGTCCTGTGCAACAAGACTTCAGAGTAAAGGTCTTTCAGAGTGCACATTAACTTGTGCAGTGAGCCACACTTGTGAGCAAAGAGCGGCATTGTCAGAGTGCTTCCATCCATCAGCTCTCCATTTCGGGCAGCCTCAGAAGAGCAGAAGCAGCAGCATTTTTGGGAGAGGCTTCACAAAGCCAGGCTGGGGAGCTGGCCCCTCTCAAGCAGGGGCAAGAGGAGAGGAATATCCCAAATGGGTTTAAATGTGGCTCCCAAGGCCTAGGGAGAACAGAACTCTAAGAGAAGATTAAGCAGCAGATTATGCATAAGAAGAGAATACCCAGTGTGACTTCCAGGTCTAAACAGGGCTAGTATCAAAGAAAACACCTCTGCTTGTAAAATGCGTGTGCATGCAAGGCATGTACCCTTTGCTGCCAGCACAGTCATAAGGGATTTTCTCTCCCAGGTGGATTTCCCTACCTTCCATTTCTTGCTGTCAATAAAATCAAAGTTCCTCCCCAGAAGCCTGGCTTCTGATCCAGCCCCCAGTGCAGGTCTGAACTCGGGTGCTTGGTGTACTTTGGCTATTCATGATCCATCACCTTTTAAAAACCTGTGGAGAAGCCAGTGTGGGCTCCTGTTAATGCCTCTTTCTTGTGTTGCTGTTGGCTTTTAGCACGTCTGGAGTGAGAGTGAAGACTGCTTACCTTTTCTGCAGCTCGCGCAGGATTACATCTCTTCCTGCGGGAAAAAGACACTCCATGAAATACTGGAAAAAGTCTTCAAATCCTTCAGACCTGTAAGTGCCTCTGTTTTACTGCCAAGGGTTGTCAGTTGTCTGTGACTGTCCGTAGGCAGCAGTGGATAGAGCAAAGCCACTTCCCTCCTGCAGCAGCTTACTTCTCTCAGGCGCTAGGGTGTTAGCATGTCAGCTGCTGTCAGACAGCTGCAGATCTTAGGATGAGAGGGAATGGCCTGAAGTCGTGCCAGAGAGATTCAGGTTGGACATTAGGAAAGATTTCTTCTGAGAAAAAGTGGTGAGGCAGTGGCACAGGCTGCCCAGGGAGGTGGTGGAGTTGCCGTTCTTGCAGGTGTTCAAGAACCGTGTGGATGTGGCACTGAGGGATGTGGTTTAGTAATATGGTAGTGATGGGCTGATGGTTGAATTAGATGATCTTAGAGGTCTTTTCCAGCCTTAATGACTCCATGATTCTGTTCTGTGCTTGGGAAGAAGCTGTGGAAAGCCACAGCTGGTTGACATGAAAGTATGATTTTAATCCTTGAGAGACTGGAAATAAATAGAACAGATGCACACTTTTCTTAGAAGGACTGAAATCTGAACCTTCAGTACAGCTGTTTGTAATTGTGAAAACATAGAAAAATATAAATATTCTTCCCAGGACAATATTAAGGTCTTGGTTATTTTCATGGTTGTTTTCTCCCACTCAGGAAAGCTGTGTCTTTGAGGAGATACTTGCATCATTTTAACTAAAGAGGACTTCAAGAGGACTTAATTGAATTGGTACAGATCAGTTACTTCATTTTAAACCACATTTATTTCAGTGTAGCTTAAGTTGCTGAGAAATTGGCTTCACTCAAACTGCATTAAGCTGCACTTTGGGATAAAAAAGTTCAGAGCTGAGGGAACCGTGATGCTTGTTTAGTCTGGGTGCTTCGTTAGCATTTACCCAGTGATTCCTATAGCCAAGCTCACAAGCAGTAGTTAAGCTGGAACACATCTTTACCAAGACATCTGGTCTTGATGTGAAGACTTCTGGTGACTTAATGAGTGCAACACTAATGAGCAATTTGCCTTCTAATGATTAGTTATACTCTTGTCCAAAAAAACTCTTTTAGTTATAATCTGATCTTTTTCTAGCATTGCTTGCTGTCTGTTGGATTTCATTGTGCTTTCATCTGCTCAAGAACACCCTCTGTTACTGGAGCCCTCTAGCAGACTGCAGCCAAGTACCTCTTCATTGTCTCTGGGATGTACCACAAAGATTGCTTATGAGATTCTCCTTTCACTGAGTTACTGAGAGGTTTGCATCAGTGTAATGGAACTGGTTTTACCATGCAGTGTATGGCTGTGTGTTGACAAGTCTAATGAGAAATGTACTGATGTTTTTCCCTTACTGTAATTATTAAAAATAGCAGACACACACAACCACGATTCACTTAAAAAGTGAAGTGTGGTATTACAGATGTATGGAAACAGCTATTGTACACCCTCATGCTTTTGCTTTTATCAGAATGAAACCAATCAGTACTGGGAAATGGTATCCTTGGCACTCCTTCCCTCCATCCTCTGTCCTTTCAATGCCAGACCTGTTTTGTTAATGAAATAGCCTTGCTGTGAGCATGGAGGTAATGGTGCATTTACAGGATGTTTCTTCCCCAGTATCCAAGCAAAGCTCACTGTAAGAGGAAAGTCTGGCTGATTTCAGTTTGAAAAATAGCAGTGTAGGGAAAGCTGAAAATCAGATCATGCTTTTCTGAAGCACTCCATGATCTTGGGTACTCAGTCTGAGAGGCTGAGAGGGGAGCAGGTTTGTGGAGTTCAGTAAGCTTTTTCTGAGAGGTTCCTCAGTGTGTTTCCAGATGGACATCCAAGATGATCAGGCAGTTTTAAAAGTCTTAAGCAGGAAGTCAAAGGATCAGACAGAGGTGTCCGTGTTTCTGAACACCTCCACATGGAATCCCATCACACTGAGCTATGACTGAAGCACATCACCTCTATACAGCATCATGTGGTGTGCTAAAGCTCTGTCGTCTACTTGGGTTGTTTCACAGTGTGTTTGTATGTCAGCTTCTGGTAGGAAGTATTGCTTGTTTCGTGAGTCTGAGATGTAAAAGCTACTAGGTTTATTTGCATTAGGGCACTTTGAAAGAGTTAAGAAAGACATAGAAATTAAAAAAAAAATGCCTGAGGGAAATGGCACCAACCTCAAGAGTTTGCAGGGAACCAAAATGTGTGTCATAAAACTTAGCAGCAAATTGCTGGACTCCTGGATTGTGCTTACGTTTGATCTAAAAGCCTGTGTCCAGGCTCTTCTTAGCCTGAGTTCTTGAATTCACACACGTCCTGCTTACTTTCCCCTTTACTTCCAAAAAGTACCCAGCAAACGGGTAGTTTGGCCAGTAGGAATAAGTAGCTGTAGTTCATGCTGTGCTGCTGCTGGCCGTTGTTCTCCTTCTCTCCTCACCACCCTCCCTGTCCTCCTCCCCATGCATTCCCCTATCTGCCAGCTTTGTTCCTTTTGCCTACCTCTTTCCTCCTTGTTTTTGCTCTCCACTGAAGACCTTTCCAGACTGCCATGTAGCAAATACAGACCAGAAGCAAATCACAGCTCACACCATGTTTCTCGTCTTCCTTTGTAAAACCTGCCTAAGGTGGGCAATATCACCCCTGATGTTTGCCACGCCAGGGAGAGGAGAGCTGTATGTCCCTGCTGCAGGAGGGGGGGATGCATGACAAACAGACCTGGAGGCTTATGCATGTCCTTTTAGTTCTCCTGGTGTATGGTGGGGGGTTTTGTGCTACTTTTGCATACCTGAAAGGCTTCCAGCATCCATAACATCAAGATGAGGCTCTCACTCCTGTGCTCATTTCCCTGCAAATCAGGGAGGAATTATAACTGGAGCTGGGCAAAAAATGTGATCAAAGCTCTTTCTGCTGGCTGATGTAAACAGAGCAGTGCCACACACAAATCTAATTTGAATGCACCAAATCAGTTGAGTGAAAATAATTCTGACAGATAAAAAAAAGCGTAGAGGCCTTGCTTTTCCATTTGAAAAAGTGTTTTAATTTTAGCTTCAAAACGGGAGAAAACCCCCACATCCTGAAAATGAACCACGTAGTTTCACATTCACATTATGCAGCTGAACATAAGATGTGAAAAATAGGTGTGCATAGGAATATTTACTGTTTGTTCTGCTCAGAAAGTAAGAACACTGGGCTATCTGCAGGCGTTTTTAAAATGCGAAGGAGGGGGGTTAGTCAGCAAATTCTCCTTCCATTTCAATGCCAAGAAGCCCTGCAACTGAAAAAATGGTTTTCTCACAGTGAGTTGAAGAATGCATGGACCCAGAAGCTAATTCTGTGTGTTGGCTTTGTATCCTCCGAATAATTCAGAATGATGATCGTGGACTAAATTTAAATCAAAATTGAACTAAACATCTGCCTTGCCACAGCCTTCTCATTTTCATATCACCACCAAGCAAGCATCACTGTCTTGATTTTTCCAGGTTTTGTCTCTTTTGAGAGACAACAGCTGTGTCACAGTCCAAACAGGGTTTTGCACGTGTCTGTGCTGCACTTCCAGCCTTGGCAAGCTGAATACGTACTATTCCAAATAATGCCTGGCACACGATTTTGCTTTGAGGTTTTTAACAGCTGGTAGTGTAGGATTCCAATATGAGATTTCCAGAACAGATACATTAGTTTGCTTATTATTTGGTTCATCTGTCTTCCTGACTTCTTGGCAGCCTTTTGGAGGGGAGGGGAAAAGTTCAAGCACTTCTATTTGCTCCTTTTCCTGGCAATTTCCAATGGCAAATAAATGCCATTGCAGAAATGCAAGCCGTCAGATGGAGGCATCCAGACATTGAAAATTAAATTTGAGCTAGCTGATCTTCCCTGGTCAGAAATATAAAGGGATTTGAGCAACTTTGAGTTGAATACACAGTATTTCTTATGGAGATTGCTTCACCCAGCACACAAGTCTTCATTGGTGTAATGGAATGAAGAGTTTAAGAGAAGCACTTAACGTGGCGGGATCCTCGGGGCTTAGGGGCACTGCCAGTTCTGCACGTGGATTCTTCCTTTTTTGGCATTTGAATGGCTACTGAACACAACCTTAAATCAAATGAATACTGCTACAGTATGATCATAGTTTGTTCTGAATTTAAGCCACTGCCAAACCTAAACACTCAAAAATCGTGATATGACCTCAGGGAAAAAGGCAGAGCTCTTTGAATGAGCTTTGCTTTGGTTTTATTTATCTTCTGGTCTCTGAGCACTTAATTTGCTGCGAGGATGCATTTTTAAATCTTTCTGTCGTCGCAAGAGGGAGAAGGAGAGAGTCGAGATAGTTACGTAATGCTGTTATTCTAGGAGTTGAGATTTCTAACAAGTGGCATCTAGGTATTGTGGGAAGATGTGCAGTGAAACATGAGTGGGTAATTGGCTATTACACCGTATTTTCTCTTCCTTGTAGCTACTTGGGCTTCCAGATGTTGATGATGATGCGTTTGAAGAATATAATGCAGATATGGAAGAAGAGGAACCAGAAGCGGATCACCAACAAATGGGTGTCAGTCAGCAGTAATGTCCAGAGGAGCTGTAAAATTGGGAATCCCGTGGCACCTGGTGGGGTCAGATAGTCCCACGTCAGCCTGTTCAATTTCGCTCATCACGTGGGATATCTGGCTCCCAGGATACAAGTTTTATGAAATGTTTATTTAAAAAAATAATAGCAATCTGTGATGGGCTTTGCTAAGAAGTGACCTGAATTTTGCTCCTGCTTCAGTGGAGTTTTTATGGAGTTGTCTTGGTAGTATTCTGCCATTACCAGTCTAGAAGTAGTTTTGTTGCTGACTGTCTCCTTGATTTGTGTTTGAGAGTAATGTTCACTGACATGAATGTAGGGTTGCCTTGAATGTAGGGACTGCAGGGTCGGCGTGCTGAGCACTCCTGGCGTGTCATCTCTCGGGGAAATTGGTGCAGAGAGTAGATGCAACCAGCACTTTTCTTTTTAGTTCAACAGCTGTGGTTTGTGGCTCTCTACCAGACAGAGCACCATATTTCGAGAAGTTTCTCCTGAAAAACACTAGTTTAACAGTGGTCAGTGCTGCAGAAATGCACGTGGAGGCTCAGCTAAAATGATGGAGAGTGACAAGACCAGGAGGTATTTGTGTTGGACCTGTTAATGTCATTTTACTGACACCTGAGTTTACAAGTGATTGGATTCATAACCGGGAGCAATTAGAGCTCTGGTATTGACAGTACATATCAAAACAAACCTGGGTTCTCTCACACCACTTAACCCAAAGCCAAATACTGTTTGTGTACTAATTCAATCAATTACAGACAGCCATTGCATATCCCACGTCTGCATGAAAACCAACTGTAAGCTTCACTATTTTGAAAACATCGAGAAATTATTACACAAATCTTGCAGTGTCGCCAACTGAAGTGCAACTTAACTTGCAAGCCATAAGTCTATAAACCAGCTTGTAACATTATGCTGGACCTTTTCCTCCCTCTGTGTCTTTGAGCTAATCTGGGCATTTCCACCTCTGACGAGGGAAGCTAAAACACTACCCAAGCAGGAGGCTCCTCCTATCTTATACCTACTTTGCATAGGTTTAAGTGGCTCCAGTGAGTGCCAGACTGTGAAGATGCAGGGTCTCTTTATTTACATGCCTTTTGTACTGAAAATATAAGAAACAGAGTGATGCTGTTGTAAGACATCTGTTTTCGGTGACTGAACATAGCGTTTCTGAATTTATTCCTTTCTTCCAGTTTCTTTTTAAATGGCAAAATGAAGGTCACACACTTCGAAAGCCCTTTTATACAGAATTAGCTTTATGAAAACAAAAAGTGAGCGAAGAAAAAATGATAGGACAATTCCCAGAAACAGCTCACACCATTTTGAAAACCCCGTTGGTAGCAACATCTTCTTTTCCATAGACTTTTAAAAGACTTTTATTTTTCAAGATTACTTAAGAGAGGAAGTTTTCTTGGGGATTTACATGTCTGATGATGGGTTCAGAGGTGCAGAGCACCTGATTTTTTTCCAGCCTGAGGCAAAGACCTTCCATAACCAGGACAGTGTGCGGTACCCGATTACGTACAGGAATGTCTGCAATGCTTTCAAAGTTCAGGTTTAAGAATATAAAAAAGAATGGAAGAGAAACAGATCTTAATGAAACTTTGTACATTCTTTTGGCATGCAGGCATAAACACGGTAGTTGCAACACATTTTCTATGGACTAGTGACGTGAGAACTGTGGCAGTTCATTGTTTAACACTGTGCAGCAGCAATAGGCTTTTTGCTTACAATTATAAAGTGTAAGAACAGTGGGTTCCATCCCTGCTTTAGGTCCCTAAGTTTTTGTTCCTCCCCATGAAAAAAGATGTCATAACCTTGCTTCAGGAGAAGCTTTCTCTTTGTAGCATCCATTGCTTTGGTTACGGCTCGTACAAATGGATCTTTTGGGGCTGGCTTCCCTCTGCTGCAGTGCCAAGCAAGATGTAATTTACAGTAGCACAAACTATTGTTTGAATTGTTAATGAGCGGTTGAACATTAATATGGATGTATGCAAACATAAAGCTGTAAATCATGTAGATATATTATTTTCTGCATTCACTAACTCACTTTTTCTGGAATGCCATGTGCCATTGGAGTGATCTCTCCACCAGAGTGCAAGTGCTTGGTAGATGAGGGCTGTTCTCTCCTGTTCTCTCTGATGGGGGATGTTCTCTGTTCTCTAAAGCTCTCACTATGGCCAGCAAGATTGTATTCAAATAAAACTCTGGAGGCTGCATGAGGCTCAGCCCTGCAGAGAGCTGCACACCTGTGTCCCCCCTCATGCTGCTGGGAGCAGAGCGTGCAGCCTCACTGCTGTACTGAAGCACTGCCAGGCAACACTAACAATAAACTGGAAATTTTATACACAAGAAAACTTAAGTGACGTGTGTGTTAAATGTGAATGAGCATTAATATAGAATGTATTTTATCAAAAAATGTTGATTGCTTCCTTTGACCAAATACATTTCTGTATGATCATGTTACGTGTTCCACACTTACCTAATGCTTCATCGTATCACAAAGTATTTACATGTTTTATTTGTGTTTATTTGTTTTTTAATCCTCTACATTTTGGGGTTGGTAACCATTCAGTAACTCACCGAAGACAGCGTGGCCCTGGCTGGGCTGCCACACTGAGAGGCTGCACCTGTGAACACATGTGCAAACACTTGCAGGTGTGGGGACTCAGTAAGAGAATGTGGGCTTAGGGCTCTGCCACTGCCCTGAGCTTTGGGTGGATTTCAGCAGCTGGGTCCCTGTGAAATTCGGTGAGAGGAGGAAAAGGACCCTTTTGGGGAGATGCCAGAATTTGGAGACCACCCCAAGCACCTGCAAGGTATCTGCTTATTGAACCTCTGCAGTGCATGTAAAAACTGCTCTGGGCATTGCTGAGCACAGTCACTTGTTTCTGCTAGCATGCTGCCCAGTGAATACATTGAGTTGATGAGGGAAGAAGGAGCGGAGAAAAGACAAACTAAAAGGCCTTCTCCTCTTCCCTAGCTTTGTAATTTGTGGTGTTGTGTGAGTAGGTCAGAGTGATGGGCAGGGAGCAGGAAGCTGCTTTATGAAGTATGCAGTAAAAAACTCTTAACAGGATTTGCTAATGATGCATTGAGAAAAAACACTGGCAAACTATCTCCTCACAGAGATGTGGGGAGTAACAGGCCCCTGAACATGATGGCCTGATGGCAGGCTTCTTCAGCTCTGCCCGGGGCTGGTTCCTCTTTGTTTAGTGCCTTTGAAAGGTGCCTGCTCATAAAAATGCTCCTTAGGAGGGGAGCAGCCCAAGCTGGTTCTGCTTTGGCAACCTGACTATATGACTGCTGCTGCATTTTGGTGCAGTCATGTGTAAGGTATGCTGGGTGAGATGGTGGCTGGGGGCAGCAGATGTTCCTGCGAGGCTGCTTAGCGACTGACTGGCCTTTTCTCCTCTGGAAGCTGGGATGTGAGGCTGTGACAGGAATATTGACTGCAATGACAGTATGGGTATTGCCCTGCAAAGATGCCATAGGGAACAAGCCTTTTTGAGCTTGTGTTTTGATCTTTCACAGGGACCCAACTTGCGATCAGCAAGGTTAGCACTTGATCCATCCTTCCCTCACGTCCATCATTCCCTCGTGTACATCCTTTCCTCATGTCCATCCTTCACCCACATCAATACTGCTCAATCCTCAGAATTTCCCACATCCAGAAAAGACAAAGCAGCCAAAGAGGGTGAAGAAGACCCCTTTCACAAGGATGTGAGACTGATGCCTACCTAACTAATCTACCTTTCAAAAATCAGGCCCCCTTAAACTGTCCTGGCTGGGCATCCAGAAAGTGAGGTTTCTCTGGCTGCAGTCTGTATCTCTGGCATGGTTTTTTTCCCCTCATAGCTAAGGGCTTTTTTTAAGGAAGAAAATACCTGAAGAAACGTCTGTGTTATCACAAACCCCAGTTTCTGCAAAGCTGTGTACCAGAGTGCTGTCCATCCCAGCGTGGTCACAAATGCTCAGATTAACAAAGAGGCTGTTCCTTTGTCTGAAGAAACAGTCTTCAAATGAGCTACTACTTACTACAACAAAGCTGTCTTGTTTCATGTAAAATACATCCAACTCTGAAATTTCCTTTTTGCACTGACATGCTGCTGCTCCTGTAGGCAGAGATCTGCGGTAGCACTGTGTATAAAGGATGTCTGCTTTCATCTTTGAGGTGGCAGTGGAAACGACAGCCCCAGATTTTAGTCATTAACATCTTTTTGTTGTTGAGTTTTCCTATAATGATGTGGGGATCAGTCAGAGCTCAACACCTCAAGCAGTAATAATGTTAGACCACACCATGTGAAGACTGTCCTTGCCGTGCTTGCCACCATTTGTTTTTCTGACTGGAAGATCTCTGTCTCTTTGGGACTTCAAAGCTGTCAAGTGTTGCCCTTTTTCTCAATGCTTTATCAGGTGTGAGCCTCCAGAGGAGCCCTGTCTATTCTTCCCTTCCTCCTTCCTCTCCCACCACCAAGGTGTCAAATCCAACAGGGTAGTTACACTATAGGCTGCCATTAAAGAGCTTACCAAATGCTAGTGACTGATGGAGTCTTTTCTCTGTGAGCAAAATAAACTAAACAGGGGTCCTGATGGGGTAAACTGTAGCTAAAATGTGTGTGAGGAAGAGGAAGAGAGGCTTGTGTTTCCCGAGATACACCTGGTGTTTGCAGGTGTAAGGAGGAGAAAATGATTTCATCTGAGCTTTGGGTGTTGCAGAATAAGCCCTGCTCTGCAAGACAGGACCCTGAACTGCCAGGTCTTTCCATTTAGTGCGAAAGATTTGCTGTCAGAACATGGGAATTAGTGGTAATATTTGCAGATGAGCAAGTGTTTCAGATTTCCCAGGTCCTCTTTTGTTTTGCACAGATTAGGGAGACATCTGTTCTAATTAACAGACATGTAATGACGTTTAAATGAAAATAGGAAGTTATGTTCAACTCATTTGCCTCTTTTTTTTAAACACTGCCATTTTAATTGTCACTTTGACATCTTCTCACTCTGATTTAGTGGCAGGAATGCTGCCAATTGTTTCCTTTTGTCACGAGTCTCTTGTCTGTGGGTTGAAGAGCATTTTCAGCCCAAGAGCGAGTGCTTTAACTTAGCACTTTGCCTTGCATTCTTGGCCCTTCATGTGGTGTGAGTGCTCTGTGGGAGGACTGTGGCCATGGTGTGTGTTGTGGTACATCCAGAGCCCTCATTGGCAACTCCAAGGCTCCTGCTGGTAGAGTGCCTACCGGCTGGCTCCCTTCTCCTGGTCAACAATCCTGGCAGCACGGAACTCACAGCCTCTTGAGGGACACCTGAGTGTGGCTGAGGCAGTGGTTGGGCTCTGCTACTGTCTTCTTACACATACAGCTGCTCCTATGAAAGAGGCGATGGACGCAGCCTGTCTGCAGCTGCTGGGAACACACTGCCTGCTCAGATCGCTGGATGGACTTCTCCTTTTTCCAAAGCTGCAGTCACCTTTACGATTTTGGATGGCAGCACCCTGCTCATGTAGGTGTCAGCTATGGGACAGCGGGCCTTTCTCTGAGGCCAGGGACCCCACACAAGATGGAGGCTAAGCCGGGGCATGCTGCTCCTCACACAGGTCTGTCCATGCTCCAGATCTCCTTCCTCAGTTAAGAAAGCAGGCTGCCCCAGGGCTTTGCCGCATTTTGGCTCTGTCTCAAGGAGAACAAATGCACTGGAGGTCTGTGTTGCCTCTGTATCTCTGGCCTACTCTCTCCCAGCAGAGCTGTCACCAAGCAGAACCAGTTGGGAACTGCAGTTACCCCTCCTTAGCAGGTTGGTGTGCTGTCTCAGAATTAACACTACCTTACTCCAAGTTTTCACCTTCCCTCTTCTCTGTGGAAAGATTCATGTTTCCACCACTTGCTCAGTGTGTGATGAAACACAATAAAAAAGCACATTGAGCTTTATTTCTAGTGCCTCGGTGTATGCATCTGTGCTGTGAAGACAAAACTAAAGCAAGATTTGTAGAAGAGGATATAATATCTTTTACTAGCCATACTGATGCAGTGGGAGAAGGTAAACAACTGTTCAAGCTCCCAGGTGCCTCTCTTGTGCTGAAATAAGAGCAGCAATTATATGATACCTGGTTATTCCTCTCTACAATAACTTTGCCTTGCTTGTGCACTTTTCCCAAGGTATTGTGACTGTAATAGTGCAGTGGAAGAAGGAGCACTTGGGCCAGATTTGAATAATTCCTGGAGATGTTCAGGAACTGAGTGGATGTGGCACCGAGGGACATGGTCAGTGGGCATGGGGGGGGTGTGTTGGCGGTTGGACTGGGGAATATTAGTGGTCTTTTCCAGCCTTAAAGACTCTGTAATTATGACTCTAATTACAGCAGTGGTGAAGCGCCCAGAAGTGGATGTCGGCTGTTAAGCACAAGTCTCCCTGACAGCCTGTCCGAAAGATCGGCCATCAAGGCTTTACGCTTTGGGTTTTATAGCAGGCCCCTAGAGGGCAGCAGAGCCTAAATTTTCAGTCCATCTAAGCGTTACAGCGATGATAAAAGCAGCTTCGCCCCTGGCCTGCAGATGGGTGCTGGATGGGAGCTGGCGTCCGCACCACCCAGTGCTGGTGGAACCCATCCTGCCTGGGACTGCAGCTGAGTTGTGGGAAGCTGTAGCCTGAGCTGCGTGGCCAGGGAGGTGGTGCAGTCACCGTCCCTGGAGGTGTCCAAGGCACTGTGGCACTGAGGGACGTGGTCGGTGGGCATGGTGGGGACAGGTTGGCCATTGGATTAGATGGTCTTAGTGGTCTTTTCCAACCTTACTGATTCTATGATTCTATTCTATGTTTCTACCCATCCTTCCAGGGAGAAGGTACGAGCACATGTATCTGTAGCAAAGCCCTCTGTCTTGTTATCACCAGCCAGTGTCTTGGGAGATTTTGTGACTGCTGGCATCAAGATCAATGTCACACAAGTGTAAGCTTGTAAGTGTAACAGGGCTGTTTTTGGTATGGGTCCCCCTGTGCCCCACTGCTGCAGAGGCCTGGAAGGGACACCTGACGCCAACACTGCATTTACTGTAGGACACTGCTAGCGCATGCGTGGCCTCAGAGCTTGTGTCACATCCCTGAGTGGATGTGAGCTTGCATTCACCCCATGTGCTGCTCTCCCCCTTCCCAGCTACAGCTGCTGGCTAATAATTGTGATTGCAGTTGGCAAAACCAACCTCTTTCTCCCCAGTTTTTTCTCCTGGTCAGTGTGTAGAGAACTGTGACTGCCTTTTTCCCGGCTGTTTTGCTGGCCACCCTCCAAGCACAGGGCTCCATTTTTTCTGTGCCCTTATGGATGATACACTCACTTCCAGCATAGGCATTTGTCAAGAACTGAGACTTTGTATGGTTTGTTAAGAAGGACATATTGTGCTTGAAACAGGGAATTCATACAGAAAAATCAGTGCCAGTTTTTATCGCATCACACCATCCCTTTCATTTAATAAA